ATATTAACTATTAGCTAGCTATTTAATTATAGTATTAATAAAGTATAAAATTAGTTTATACTATATATAATATTCAGTAAATATTTAATGAATATTTGAATATTTATTCAAAATTTTTTAATAAATATTCGAATATTAAAAGTATTAAACAAATGAATATTCAAATACAAATTTTTTAATCAGATAAGATCTCTAGCTGATAATATAGATCTTTTTCATAGCTAGTTCTTCTACAGGCTCTTCTGAAGCTCTTTTTCTAATTAAAGTTTCATGAGGTTCATTAGTATCATGAGATTTATAAGCATCATAAGATTCATAAGTATTATGAGATTTATTAATATTTTCTGAAGTATTGGCATGAAACAAACTATTATTATTACTATTTATTGTAATAAGCTTAGCGTTATAAATATTATTATATTAAAGTACTAGAGATCAAATCTTCAAATAAGCATAATTGCTTACATTTGGATTGTTTTAAAATTTAATCTGGTTACTTAAATATGATAAATTACAGATAATAATCATAACAATAGTGTCACTAATATTAATAATAAAGATTTTGGCTAAAAATATATATATAATGATAATAAAATTTAAAGAAAATAAATATAATAAAGACGCAAAAAAACTTTATACAATAATATTTTTTTTTAATAATGATGCTAAAATTATTACTTAATAAATTGATTTTTATATTACTTTATTCAAGATATCGAAGTCTGAAAAATTTTATTAATACAAAAAAAATAGTCTTAAATATATTTTTTTTCATATCAGCTATGCTTTACTTTTACTATTTACATATATAAGAGTCTTTTTATTGTGTATAGTTTGTGAATTGCAAATAATCCATACTCTTTAAATGTTATATCTATGCACAAGTTTTTCACAATTTAGCAACACAAAGTTGCTAGTTATCTGATAATATTAAAATTACTAGTTTTTTCCTATTATATATCTATTTATCAGATATATCATATATTAATAAACAAACATATAATTAAAATAAAAAAAATAAGATGTGACTAAACCTCAAGTGACATATTATCAGATTCTTATATGTAGTTCGTGACTAACTTCTTTAATCTAATAAGTTTTTTACAATTCAGCAATACAATATTATTAATTATTCACAATTAGTATTTACAATTACTGGTTTTTCTCTTTTATAGATATATTTAGCAGATATATTGTATTTTAAAAAAAAATAAACAGATAGAAAAATAAAAATCTAAAGATAGGATTGTCTAAGCTCCAAATGATAATAACGAAAAACATGATATTGCTCTATAGATTGCAGAATTAGAACTATTAAAAAATCTTTATATAATTAAATATTATTATATGTATAAAAGAAGAAAAAGCTATTAAAGAGCTTAAGAATATAGTAAAAAAAGT